CTCACAAGGTTGGCTCACTCCAAGTGAAGGTGGAGGCCACTCTAGGTTTCCTACTCTCCAAGGGTGGAGATAGGAGGGGGTTAGATGAATCCAACCTAGTGACTAAGGAAGAGATGTTGAGGCATAAAATGCTCACTCAAAATCTATATATTCCAAAGTATTTACAAGTGGTGGGGTGTTGGGTATTTATAGGAGGGGAGGCATCTAGGGTTGCATTTGGAGTAGGCAAATGCATTCCAAATGAAATGCAAATGAACCCTAGATGCAACTTGGTGGCCAAGGATGGAATCTATGGGTTTAGATTGGCTATATCTAGGTGCATGTTAAGACCATGCAACCTTTGCCCTCCACTTGGGCCTAAGCCTTTCTAACACCAAAAATAGGTCCAAGGTCACCAAAAAATGCGTCACCTCCTAATGTTAAACCCTAGCCCAAAATTAAAACCCTAATCATCTAGAACACCCCATAATACAAGGGTAAAATGGGAAATACAAAAGAAAATAAATTCTAAGTCCTAAACACCCCAAAATACAAGGGTAAAATTGGAAATACAAGAAAATAAATTCTATGACTAAAATACCCCAAAATACAAGGGTAAAATAGGAAATTAAAGACAAGGGAAAAATAGGAATAAAGAAATAAATGCTATAAAACTTAGGAGCTAAGGTCCAAAAAATGGCCTTACTATCCCATTCCTCTTGCCTCCTTTAGTATATCACCTCTTGGTCTTCTCGGCCTTAGTGTTATTCCATCATGTTACACCGCTCAATAACTTTAAATTAAATGTGAATTTTGTAAATCTAATCGTTAGATTGAAAATTCATATCACTTTATATGTATATCAAATTTTGTTAAAATTGAACAACTTGAGAGTAATTAAAATATTCATATTTTAGTATATTTTGAAATAAATATATTATGTCAATTTTGTTTTATAAGAATGAAATATCAAATCATCTTGGATTAATATAAAATTTTGTATATATTATCGAATATTAAAAATTTTTCAATCTAACGGTTGGATTTATAAAATTCACATTTAATTTAAAGTTATTGAATAGTATAACACTTAATAAAAGTTACATCGGTGTCATTTGCCTATATATATATATTTATTTATATGTATTTACTCATCTTTCCAACCGACAATGGGAATTTGTTTCTCAACTCACAACCACTCTAATTATCTGCACACCGACAATGGGAATTTGTTACTCACTCACAACCTCTCTAATTATCTGCACCCGTATAAGTATTTGACAGGGCACACATTTATTGGCTGGGTCATAGATGTAGTGAATATCTAACAGAGGTGATGGTGATGGCATGCATTCATTCATTAGACAGATATTCACTACTCAGTGGACAGTGGTGATGATGATACCTGATATAGCGTTTTCAGTTTGCATCTTTAACGAAAAAGCAACAACTATGTAGTACATATGGGAAAATTCATCTCTCGTTTTTCCCTTGTCTAACATTTATATATGGCATGCATTATTTTGGACATGCTTGTTTTTATCTTTTTCTTTTCCTTTTTCTAACAAACTGCGACTAGTTTACATTATTGGTAAAACAAAATTTTCAAATTAACAAACAACTAGTTATCCTAAAGTTTTACATGTAGTGTATTCAATTAGCACACATTTGTCTATCATGAGCTTTTCTTTTTCTTACCACTTCTTAACTGAAAATGTTTCAATTACATGTCAAAAGATTAAATTAATTTTATAAGATGTGTTTAACTTTGATTCATTATTAGCTTAAAGATTTTTTCAAATTTTATTTAACTATTTTACCAATGAGTTGAATTAGAAGTTGTAAATTAAAAATAGGACATTAAATTGAAGGCTCTCACCGATTAGAGCCCTATAAAATTAATAATTTTTTTTCATTGAAATCATGATGGAGTATTTTGGGAAATCATAATGAGAATACATTAATAACATGTTTTTAATAAAAACTTTTCACTTTAATTACTTAACCCGCAGCTAGAGTAGCATTTGTCTAAATTTAATGATCATGAAGTTTTTTAAAATTTAAAGTTACTTTTAAATTTAAATTTCTTGTATAATGTGTTTTTGAATTTTGATATTTGAAATAAAAAAGAAAAGGAAGAAAATAGAAGTTAGCTTGCAAAATAAACATTTTAAAATCTTATTTCAAACCATTGCATTAAAACAATATTTTTTATGTTCTTTCTTAAAAAAAAAATATTCTGTTTGGTGTAATTTATTCTATTAAAAAAATAAAGAAATTCAAAATAAGTTACAATTGTTACCTAAAAGGTTTACTTATTTGTAAAGATGATGTACTTGCTAATAGAAGAGGAGTCATGACCTATTATTTGTACATTACCTAAAATTTCATTTTTCTTCTACCTTAGTTTAAAGCGTACTTGATAAAGCTAAAGCTTCTAAATTATGAAAGGACTACTTTATCATTACTAATTTTCTCTAACTCTAACTTACTCTCACCCACCAACACCACTACTTTTGATTTCTAAATTATGAAATGGTTATTTTGTATACCTATTACTTTTGCCCTAAACATACTTGAACCGCTTCCCCACTTCTCTCACCCACCAACACCATTTAGCCCAAAACAATTACACAAAACCCAACACTTTAATGGGGAAATTTTCACCTTTAATTAACCAGAGTCAATCTCCACTGAAAGGCAAGTTAAAAATAAAATCCATTCAAATGAAACATTTCCTTCTTTTCTTCGCAAATCACTAAAATATTTATTTGATTTCATTATAAAATATCTAAGTAATATAATATCATTTGTATTCTATTTCATTTGAAGTCATTTTAACCTATTTTGTTTCATTATATTCTAATCCATTGTGATCACCAATTCAAACAATATGTTTAGATCCAAAAATGACTTTTATTTCTAGTATCAAAACATGCATGATTTCTTTGGGACATATCAATATCTTTTTTTTTTTTTTTTTACAAGTATTACTTCTTTTTTATTTTTTTTTAAGAAATAGTAACATGTTAATCTATAACATATATAAAGATGATACTTTGATTTAGTATACACAATTCAACAACTTTCAAACTATTCTCTTTCGTTATCTCTCTTCCACTATTTTTTATTTTTTTATTTTTTACTTTCAATAAACCTCGTACTAATCATATATATTATAAAGGGGATATAGGGGTATATAATTAGTTTTGATCTTCACTTTTTAATAGATCATTATATTCTTCAGATGTAAAAAAAAATTATATTCTCTTTGAATAATTATATATAACCTTTTAATATTTTATTTATTTATAACTATTATAGATATGAAATATTTCTACTTTTTAATTATTATAAAAGGTTAAAATAAAGAGCTACTAGTTAACATCCTTAACTTTTTTTCCCGACTTGTCATTCGTTTCCACTTATCCAATTAACTGAAATTGAAGACATGGTTTCTTTCTGGGTACGTATAGATTCAAGGGAGTTCAATCTTAAAACCTAATTGTGGTTCTCCACTTAGACAGAAAGATAAGTTCAATAAACCTTAAGCAACAGACAACATAACGTCAAATTCATAATCATTTTGTTTCCCCAAAAGGGAAAAAAAAAAAAAAAAAAGATGAACTTCTAATAAGCCACCTTTTTCAAAAGACAAAGTTCAATTATTCTTTATGTTTTGGGTTTACCGAATTAAAATTTAGGGTTTTTTTAATCACACATTAATTCATGCTTCGTATATTTCTTAATTGTTATATAGCATTTGTCCAAAGAATACCTAGACAAGGCTTGTGGGCAAAAGTGAAATTTCATATTGAATGCATATTGTTGGTAGGTTTCTGGGTTCATGTGGTTTGAATTCATTCATTTAGGTTATGAAGCTTAAAAACTATATAAAGTAGGTTCAGCTTTTAACAAGAAAAACTGCAGTTGCAGTGTCCTGAGATGAACCTCTCAATTATTTTGGCGAAAATCCCAATTTATTCTAGATATTGCTTGGTTTTGAAGGAAAATCTGCAGGCTCTTGACCTTTCACACACTGCGACACACAGCACAGCCTTTTCAAGGCTTATTGTTCTTAAAAGCACTCAATTATGTACCAACTAACACTGTTACAACTTCAGTTGAGTTATTAAGAAATCTGTAAGAAACAAAATTGATTAATTATTTATTTTTCCTTCTTCTTTTTACATCTTTCTATGTAAAGACTTAACTAGGGTTTACCCTCGACTCTTTTAAAAACTAACCTCTACCCATTTTTACTATTGTATCATTGTTGGTCATGCCCCCGTACATTTGAAGGGGAAATCTTAGGATCAATCCTTCAGAAGGAACAATAATTGTCTATTAGGGTTTTTCTTGTTTGGCAGGCTAAAAAAAAAGTACTCTTCATATTTAAATACCTACGCAAGACAACAATATTAGGAAAGGATGGAGACTATATAATAGTGTGCCAAATTATTCAAGTCCGGGGCACTTAAATTCTTGGTGATTTATAACACACGTTGATCAATTAGGACACATGTATCTGCATCTTATTGGAGAGGCACATGCACCTTAATGAAGTAATAAACACACACAATTAGGTTAATAAACCTAATTTAGATAATTTTGTTACAGAATAATGAAAGTCAGATCTTTCCAAGTTGTGCCGTGCAAATCTCACTGCCATCTGCATGTGGTCCCTCTTTCTATGAGTTGAGTGGATGCTTTTTAAGAACCTAAATTGGTCCCTCATCTATAGCGCAGCTACCTATGATCTATTATCTAATCCAACTGATCACACTCAAATATCATACACCACATCTTTTGAAACTCATTATGACTCCTCTAGTTTAATTTCTGTTTCTGTTTCTTTTATGTAACTGCCTGCAAATTTTGATCTTTATTTTCTTAATTAACATTTAAGAATATTTGATATGGGAATAGTTCTAGGACAATATAACAAACCAAAAGGATTTCATTCTTATAAATATTCTTGTGTTTCACTCTTTCAAAGATATTGCTTTTATACTATCAGAAATGCATTAGTTCTTTAGATGATGTTATGTGGAATTCTCTAGTTTCCTTTACAACAGTGCGAATTTCTTGATTATGATATATGTGGTTGCACAAAAATTATAAACCCTTGCTTTTTTATTTATTGTCCAATTTCTTAAATGAAAAATGAATTGTAGCTCAGATCTCTTTCTTTTTCCTTTTTATCTTTCTCCCTTTGGACCGGCAGTTCTTAATCCAATATTGAAGCTTGTGTCTGGTACGTCTTCCCACACATTGAATAATTATATTGACAACAGTTAATCATTAATTCAGTGATTGTTCAGTATGTGGTATAAACAAGGGTATTGATATATTAACATTTGCTATAGTCCAAACACTTGATTGATTCTTTTATTTTCTCTCTATTTATCTTCTTATTTAATCATATTAATTATTTATCACATTTATATTTTTCTCTCTTTTTCTAGTCTAGTATATATATGATAACAAGGTGTACATCTATTAATTTTGTATGAACAAACCGAGGAAGTTACCACTGCCAGTTTGATTGACGTGTCACTTTAAAAGGATGCCACGTGATCATGTATGACCACTTACTTTTTACATTTAAATGCAAGAAAGATGAATGCTGTAAAATTAAAACTTCAATCTCGTTCATAAAATTCTTAATTGTAGAGTGAATTATTATTCGCTTGAAGGAATACGTTGAAATCTAAGGTTGGGGTCATCTGTTCAAATAATTAACATTTAGGTGCTCATTTTGGAAAGACTTTAATTCTAGGGTATTTCTATTTTCTTTCCCTTTCATTTCTTCTCTTTCTAGGTTATGGTGAAAGACATTGAGCAGAATAACCAGATAGCACCCAGAATTTTCTCTCTCGCGTAAGTTGGTTCATGTGATTTTAATACTTACCTGTCTTATCATTCTTCTCATGTTTTCAGCAAATCCATTCATATATGTACAATTTTCAACTTCTAAGGCTGTGATTTTTGCTTCAAATTTGGTTTCACAAGCTATCAATTGAGTAAATAGAGTTCTCTTCTCTTCAATTTTCGAGAAACATGTGGCTTCGGCACCGAAAGTTCTATTATGGAGCTGAAAAACTGATTTCACCGGGCTTTCATATTTTTGGAAACTACTACTCTCATAACCTTTTTATTTCTAATTTTATGATCTGTTTCTTTTATTTACTAACTAACCAAAATGGGAACATTTCTTAGACAATAGGAAATCAACAGGGAAAATAGTCACTACTGGAAATAAACATGTTTATTATTTATGAGAATGAGAGATTACAGAGGAACCAATATTCCTATTGCCAAGTGCTAAGCTCCTATAGGGGGCAAGGCTCTCTGCTCATAACTAACCATCAGATTGTTCATAGCTCTCCATCTCTTTCTCTTCCCTAAGCTCCCATATAACTAAATTCCTCTTACAAAACCTGCTATATTTTTTTATATAAGTTTTTATTCTATTTCTCTTTTTTTATTCTTAAAATTTTTCACACAAGGTAGAAGTTTGTTTCTAATATATAAGAGTTAATTTAGAAATGCAACAATTTCTGTATAATTTTTTGATAAATTTTCCAACAGAAACTGTGTAATAATATATCACACAAAGGTTTCTGTTTCTAACACCCATGGCTAAAATTTTCATTGTTTCTCAGGGGGTCATTTACATATACCAAGGAGGAGAAAGACAATTCAAAGAAACAATCACAATGATGAGATAAGTAAATGATGATTATAATGTCAAGTTCAAGAGAAGATTCTCAAGCCAAGCAAGAGGGTGACACCAATAGTATCAAGTTCTCCAAAGCATCATCTACCACTTCAAGACAATGGTCAGCGTTCAGAAATCCAAGAATTGTGAGAGTGTCACGTTCTTTTGGAGGAAAAGATAGGCATAGCAAGGTTTGCACCATAAGAGGGTTGAGGGACAGAAGGATTAGGCTCTCAGTCCCCACAGCAATTCAGCTATATGATCTTCAAGACAAGCTTGGGCTAAGCCAACCTAGCAAAGTGATAGATTGGTTGCTTGAAGCCACCAAATTCGACATTGACAAACTCCCTCCACTTCAATTCCCTCAGGGTTTTGCTCAATTTCATCATCCACAAACCCTACTTCCCTTTCATGGATCAAGTGCTGCATCTCAACTTTCACTTGGACCCTTATGTGATGCTAGCTCCACATTAGTAAGGGATGGGGGAATTCAAAACCTCATGGCAAAATCAAGGTATTGGGAAAATATGGATTCAATATCAAGGTTGAAAGGCAAGGAAGCTGAAAAGGGCAAGTGGATCAAAACAAATGAGCAAGAGAATCAAGATGGTTACAATGACTTGCAAGTTTCTACTCAGAGGCTTTTTCCAATGGGTAGTAGTGCTACCACTACTCACTCTCTTTTACCTGGTTTGTTAAACAACACTATGTCATATAACTCCTACAATTCTGAGCCTTCTAGTTTGTCTTTATCCCAATTTGGAAGCCATGGATTTTTCCCTTCTCAGCAGGTAGATCCAAATAATCCAAGCAATGGTAATGGTGTGCAATTCCCATCTTCTTTGCCATTGCCACCATCTGGTTCTCAATTTTTGTTTGGTTCATCTTCTGCTACACCGTCAATTTTCACTACCTATGCTTCGTTTACAACACCTTCAGTAGACAATGATCCTAGACAGTTCAACCACATTCAGTTCTTGAACTCAGGTTCTCAACTCTTGCCTCATCATCCTCTCATTCCATCTCTTCACTCGTTCAATTCACCTGTCAGACCCTTCCCAGCAACACCCTTTAGTTCAAAGCTTTTGGCTTCAGATAGCAACAACGACAACAGTCGTAGCCAACAAGACAAGGGTAGCACTTCTTGAATCTCCTCACCACTGTCCTTCATCAGATGTTAGGTTGATAGCTCTATATTGCAGACCTTAATATTATGCAAAGGAAGTGAGCAAGTATTCTTCATGTAATCACTCAAGAAGTTAAAGCACATTATATTTTATAGGCTTTCAACCAAGGTAAGTACATTCAAGTATGGCAATTGCTAGCTATACCTATGGGATGAATATATTTTGTACTTGAATCTTTGAGATTTCCTCTATACCTTGTTGAAAAATCATTCTGGGTACAAGTAAGAATAAGTACCAACCTAAATAGAGTTCTTTTTCTTGTATGCATATATATGATTTCCATCATTTGATTTAATTTATGTAAAAAAACGAAGAAAAAAAAATCATGTTCATTTTAATTAGTTTGCACAGCACAGTTCCGTGATCTAATGCGCTATAGCTTGAAAGGGTTTAGATACAATTTCATTGTGATCACTTCAAACATCTGACATTAATTAATGCATACGATGTAGTTTGAGAAGATTACCATAAAATAAAGACCAAGAACAAATTTAAGATGTTCTTGTGTATGGAGTAAATTTTGCTAATACAAAAATTAACATTTAATTTCTTTGTTTATAGTTTTTCTTTGGTGTTAATTGGAGGGACGGAGAAGAAAATGAGATATGAAGACAGGTGATCTCCCTTGTGTATAACATGAATACATATTATTGCTTTCTACTTAATTAGTATTCTCCAGTAAACTCGTTAGTTTTCCTTCCTCGAGTTGAGAGCTTAATATAGCTGACAAAAATAATTCTTTTACATATTAGTCATAATTTATATCAATGGATGTTTTATACTAATATAATTATATAAAAAAATATAATTATTGTTACAAAAGGTAGTGTGTTTGATCAAACTTCTTCTCCTGTATATTTTGATAACTATTTACTTATAAGTTTTGTTATTTGCATTATACATTGTTATGTCAAAAAATTAAACGTACAAATGACACGATTTTAGGAGCTCTCTACACAAGTAACTAAACATTTGTAGTGGACATTTATTGATTAAGATTTAAAAGATTAAAGTACTCTCACTCATTTTGTCACATTCACCTAAAGGAAATGTATTTTGTCTTAAGAAAGAGATTGATAAAGTATGCTATATAGAGTTATGCAACTTATCTTAAAAAGTACTTTAATTTGTTTTGTTTAATTTGATCACTCTTTGTTTTATTATTTTATTAACGGTGCTGCTTCAATTTATAAAACATAGAATCAGACATAAGATTTTTTTTCACCGACAAGAGCTGCAATTACCTACACATGTTATTTTAGTGCTAATAACATCAACTTACATAATTTTTTTTATTTATTTTGAAGACATATAATACCTTGGAAATTAACTTTATTGATGGTGATGATAATGGTATATATTATTTTGTACCATTGTCTAGCAACAGTTTATAGACGGTTAGCTCGCGGCATGTTTTGTCATAAATCTGTTCTTGTTCCAGGATGCATGATTCTTTTGTTCGTTACCTAAATGTCACTACATGAAAAATTGAACTGTGAAAAGATAAATAAACTGTGTCCTGTTAGTGATACAGTGTTGAACATAAAAAGTTTTATAACTAACACTCACTGGCGTGATATATAATTAACACGCAATCTGGGAAATTCATCATGCGTTCTAAATAATAAATGTGTACCGTGTCCTTGTGCATTAACATATATATAGTAACATTCAGAAGCTAGTCATGCAACCTAAATCTGAATCAAAATTAGTACAAATATTCAATACTGTTCAACAATGTGGTGAAAAGGAGTGTCCTAATTATTTGTAAGCTCAATTCAGAAGCAACTTTTGATGCCCTTTGGTTAGTGACTTATTCCCAATGCACGCAGCCAGCAATGCATGCCGACCTACAGCATGTGAAGGTCTGCCACAAACCTATATAGTAGAAAATAGCAATTAAAGATAATGTTGAACAAAGAAAAAGTTTGTAGATGCAACCAACCATGACACCCTATATATAGTAAAATGGAAAATTAAGGAAAAAGAAAGAATATATGTACTACCAAACCATAAAAAGGAAATTTTATTCACGATCATACATTGTGTTTGTACTATACTTTGTACAATGAAAAGAGAACTGTAAAACAAAATTATTAATGTGATGGAAAAATGTTATAAAAAATAGTATCAACATATAAATAATATCTGTTTGAATTATAATTAAAAAATTCAGTGAAGTTGATGTTAAAAAAAAAAAAAAGTAACAGTCTTCTGTTTTTTATTCAACTCAAATTTTCTTACAAATTCACACTCAATCAAATAGAAAAATAAATTGTTAAACATGTAAATGCTGCATTTAAAGTGAACTAACTCTAATTACAAGATATAAACGTAATCTAGAATATAGTTATGAAAATCATATAAAATTATATATATAAAGTTGAAAATTGGATAGAGTGAAAAAAAAAAAAAAAAAAGGAAAAAGCTGTGAAATTGCATGCTACGGTCCAAAGGTCTGCAATCTGTATATATACATAGATGTGTGTGAAATATTGCAGAGAGTGTAGCAGGAAATTAGGCAATACGTCTTGTGTCTATCCTCATCTTTGTACCCTATTTGACAGCATCTTGATGAAGGCATGGAAGCATCCATCCACACAAAGTATGGAAAAGAGAGAAAAATGTTTCCGAATCTACAGTTCTTACTGACAATGAAAAGGAGGCAACATAAAATCACAGGCAGAGACTGAATTTGAAAGCAGTCTCTGTAGTAGACAATAATATATCACAGGATCCAAGATCAAAAATTAAATTAAGGAGACTCAGTGGTTGCAGCAGTTAGGTCCTTTAGGATAGAGCCATCAAAGAGAAATGACCAAAAGTTTTATATTTGTCTGTGTGGTCCTAATTAATTATTCATCGGCTTTAAAACATAGAAACAAAGGAAACAATTCAGAGTTGACAGGACATTATTTTGGAAAAAGAAAATTTATATTTGCTCACATTATATAGCTTGCAGGGTGTTACATTAGCCATTGTCTTAATTTTTATAGATGCTTGTTCAAATTGCAGTTTCTGACCAACCTCACATAATTAATGAATGAAAGAAAGAAAACAGAATTATACACTACAATTTATTACATAGCACTGCTGAAACTTTTGACCAGTATTATTCACAACCATTATTTGTTCGTTGACGTAGTTAAATGAGAGGAAAAGTGCTATGATAATGAATGGTTGGTTATAACTCTACAAGTCTAGTATTTTGTCCAGAGTTTTCTATTGTCAATTTTTATTATTAGAAGATGGATTTATTGGTTACCTTTAATTATGATTATAGCCTATGTGAAACAAATTCTCTCGGGTAACGATTAAAAAATTAACAAATAATATTTTAATATATATGTTATTTATTACAAATATATATTAATAATAATTATTAATTTCTGAACAATGTCCAAGATCACGTATGTAATGTTTTAAAATTGTTATCAGACCCTTAAAAGATATATTCTAGTGTTGTCTTTATAAATGAAGTTGTTTGATTTAATTCAGTTTGGAATAATATAATAAATTTAAATCACATCAAATAATAATTTTTAATTATATATATATATATTCAATTTTTTAAAATTCATAAAAAGAGAATTTAAGTTGATTAGTTTCACAATCATACATATCATTCAGTTGTATCCACCGTATAATTAATAATAAAATAAATTTAAAAACAAAGTTCAGATTGTTTTTAGATCAAATTAACATCATATTATAGATGTACATATGTAAAATAAAAAAAGTTCAAGTTAATTAGTTTTCTTTTAATCGGTAACAAAAATGTTAATTAGTTTAGTTGTTCCTTCCATTTAATTAGAGTTTATTTAATTAGTTCAAATCAATCAAATTCTTACAAATACCTATAACAATGAGTATTTAATAAAAAAAATATATTTATATAATTATTTTAATTGAAAAATATTTTTTATCACTAAAAATTACAACAATAATAACAAGATTTGTAGTAAAACTTTGTTTATACTATCCAATCATTTCTCTTATCACTGAGTCAACTTTAGTAAATAAAATATATTTTGAAATTGACAAATATGCACTTATACGATTTGGGTATTATTTCTTTTAATATATATAATAATGTTTTAAAAAAATTTAAAATGAAATTTTATCAGTCAAGAAAATATTTGAAAATGGAAATTAAGATTAGAAGTTTTGGAGGAAGAGATTACATACTTAATTGATTATTTTCAATTCTTTTATATAAACTCTAAGACATTATTCTTATTTATACTAGTAGTTTCTTTTAAATTAATGGTTAAGATTTTATTAATACAAATTTAATCTAATGACTACAAATAACTCTTTAGAATGTTTTTTTATAGATATAACCATACTTGAATATTCTAGATAATTCTATATATTATTTTGGAGATATTTTCTAAAGAGATATTATTCTATAACATGGTTCTAGAATTTGAGTTTGACATGTTTCTAGAAAAATTGTGTTTTTATTTAAGAAAATTGTACCTGAAGGGCACATTAGTAATCTTCTCGTATTTTGAGGGCCGAACGAGAGCTCTAATCGAATATTCCGGTAAGGGGGAGGTACTTGCAAAAGGCACTCTGACGCTCAAGTCAGGACAAAACACAAATATCGATAGTAATTAATGAACAATGACGTTAACTCGTGACATGAGTTATTTATACTGACATTGATGGGCCCGGACTCCTATGAGCCCTGCAATAGGATTACCATATTAGGTAATATGCCTCTAATCGACTTATTGGTGTGATTAGCTCTTAACTCTTGATTAGGGGTGATCCTTAATCCTTGATTAGGAGAGATAGCTGAGCTTATGGATCATCTGGTGGCCGATCAGTAGTCGGCTACCTGGTTCGGCCATTCAGGTGCCGATTGGATATCGGTCACCTGGTGGCCGAATGGTTTCACTAGTACAAAAATCAAATCTAAAATGAAATTTTATGTTTTTTTATTCATTAAAATTATAATGAAAATCACAAAGTCTAACGTAAGGAATTGTATATATTATATTAGCATCATCGTTAAGCAAATTCTAATAGATGAAATCCAGTTTATATTTGAGATAGGACTTACCTTTCTTAGGCTAATTTCTATTACCGCAACAAGGTTTAAGTCTAATTCTATATTTTGAGTTTGATACATATGATTGGTATTATTAATAGGTCTAATGATAAGTGTCCTTTTATGTGTGTATCCGATGGTGAAAGCAACATATTAATCTTTTAATCTTTTCATGCAAATATCAGGAGTGTTTAATACTTGGTCATGGTCATGGATGAAATCATTTTTATTAAAAT